TTATCCTTCTTTGTCCTCTAAACATGCTGGGTGGAGTTTAGACCAGAAAATTATATTTTGGTCTCATCTGACCACATGACTTTCTCACATGTCTCCTCTGGATCATCTAGATGGTCGTTGGTAAACTTCAGTTGGGCCTGGACATGTACATGTGATTACTTGAGCAGTAGAACCTTCTTTGTGATGCATGATTTTAAACCATGATGGCGTTGTGTTCTACCGACAGTGACCTTTGAACCTGAGGCTCCAGCTCTCTTCATGTCATTGTAGTTCTGGGCTGATTCTTCACCTTCCTTATCATCAGTGATACCCCACCAGATGAGATCTTGCACGGAGCCCCAGGTCGAAGGAGACTGAGTCTTTAGCCTCTTTCATTTTCTAACAATTGCTCCAACAGTTGATCTAGTTTTGCTAAGCTGCTTGGCAATTGCCCTGTAGCTCTGCCCAGCCTTTTGGAGGTCAATAATGTTGTCACTTCTGTCTTTTGACAGCTCTTTGGTCTTGCCCATGGTAGCTGGAATCTGACTGACTGTGGGGTAGACAGGTGTCTTTAACAGGCTCAGACAGGTGCTTCTAATTTAGACTCATACGTGGAGTACAGGTGAACTATTTAAAGACAGAGTAAAACTCCCTGATGCCAGCTGTTCAAATACTTCTGAGCAGCTGTGCAACACAAATAAATTCTTTAAAAATCATCAGATTTCCTGATTTTTTAAGATGCTGTCTCTCACAGTGGGAATCTTTAAATGATCCATACCTATACGTATAGTGCACCAGAGGACTTCACAGCGCTTTACACTGTATTCAGTAGAGTGTGTATCATTCATCCATTCATATGCACACACATGCACACACGTGTGTGTGTGCACACAAACACCCTACAATTTGTATTTCAGACCCCTTCAGGATTTCTAAGTGAAAGAACTTGTAAAATCACAGGATATTCCAATATCTTTGTTCCTCACCTGAAAATAAATATAAACCAACTTGAACCGTCACCTTATCGTGGTGGAGGAGTTTGAGTGCCCTAATGATCCTAGGAGCTATGTTGTCTGGGGCACTTAGTGCCCCTGGTAGGGTCTCCCATGACAAATTGGTCTTAGGTGAAGGGTGAGACAAAGAACGGTTCGAAGGATCTTTCATGGCGGTTAAAACGAAGAGTCGGAGTACCCGGCCCGGAGGGTTACCGGGGTCCCACCCTGGAGCCAGGCCTGGGGTTGGGGCCCGTGAGCGAGCGCCTGGTGGCCGGGCTTTCGCCCATGGGGCCCGGCCGGGCCCAGCCCGAACCGGATACATGGGCTCGTCCAACTGTGGACCCACCACCCGCAGGAGGAACATGAAGGGTCCGGTGCAATGCGAATCGGGTGGCAGACCAAGGCAGGAGCCTTGGCGGTCCAATCCCCAGACAAGAAAACTAGTTTTTGGGACATGGAACGTCACCTCGCTGGCGGGGAAGGAGCCGGAGCTTTTGGCAGAGGTTGAGCGGTACCGGCTAGATATAGTCGGACTCACCTCGACACATTGCATTGGCTCTGGAACCCGAGACCTGGAGATGGTTGGCTTTTTGTTAGCCCCGAGACTCTCTGCCTGTGTGTTGGGGTTTACCCCGGGGGACAAGAGGGTAGCTTCCTTGCGCCTTCGGGTCGGGGAACAGGTCCTGACTGTTGTTTGTGCTTATGGGCCAAATATCAGTTCAGAGTACCCACCCTTTTTGGAGTCCCTGGGACGAGTGCTAGATAGTGCTCCATCAGGGGACTCCATTGTCCTGCTGGGGGACTTCAATGCTCACGTGGGCAATGACAGCTTGACCTGGAGGGGTGTGATTGGGAGGAACGGCCCACCTAATCTGAACTCGAGCGGTGTTTTGTTATTGGACTTCTGTGCAAGCCGCAGTTTGGCCATAACGAACACCATGTTCGAACATAAGGATGCCCACCGGTACACTTGGTACCAGGGCAGCCTAGGTCGCAGGTCGATGATAGATTTTGTAGTCATATCATCTGACCTGCGGCCGTATGTTTTGGACACCCGAGTGAAGAGAGGGGCGGAGCTGTCAACTGATCACCACCTGGTGGTGAGTTAGATCAGATGGCAAGGGAACATGCCGCGTAGACCTGGCAGACCCAAACGCATAGTGAGGGTCTGCTGGGAACGCCTGGCAGAAGAACCTGTCAAGACGGTCTTCAACTCCCACCTCCGGCAGAGCTTTGACCACGTCCCGAGAGCAGTGGGGGACATTGAGTCCGAGTGGGCCTTGTTCCACTCTGCGATTGTCGAGGCGGCTGTTGCTAGCTGTGGTCGTAAGGTGGCCGGTGCCAGTCGTGGTGGCAACCCCCGTACCCGCTGGTGGACACCAGAGGTTCGGGGAGCCGTCAGGCTGAAGAAGGAGGCCTACAGGGCGTGGCTGGTCTGTGGGTCTCCGGAGGCAGCAGACAGGTACCGGATAGCCAAGCGGGGTGCAGCAGTGGCAGTTGCCGAGGCAAAATCTCGGGCGTGGGAGGAGTTTGGTGAGGCCATGGAGAAAGACTATCGATCGGCTCCAAAGAGGTTCTGGCAAACTGTCCGGCGCCTCAGGAGAGGAAGGCAGCAACTCGCTCACACTGTTTACAGTGGGGATGGGGAGCTGCTGACGTCAACTGAGGCTATAGTCGGACGGTGGAAGGAATACTTTGAGGAGCTCCTCAATCCCACCAATGCGCATTCCGAGGAGGAACCAGAGCTGGGAGGCCTGGGGATGGACTGTCCGATCTCGGGGGCATAAGTTGCTGAGGTAGTCAAACAACTACACAGCGGCGGAGCCCCGGGGGCGGATGAGGTTCGTCCTGGGTATCTCAAGGCTATGGATGTTGTAGGGCTGTCATGGTTGACACGTCTCTACAACATTGCGTGGTCATCGGGGGCAGTTCCTAGGGAGTGGCAGACCGGGGTGGTGGTCCCCATCTTTAAGAAGGGTGACCTGAGGGTGTGTTCCAACTATAGGGGGATCACACTCCTCAGCCTCCCTGGAAAGGTCTACTCCAAGGTACTGGAGAGGAGGGTCCGATCGATAGTTGAATCTCAGATAGAGGAGGAGCAATGTGGTTTTCGTCCTGGCCGTGGAACTGTGGACCAGCTCTATACCCTTGCAAGGGTGATGGAGGGGGCATGGGAGTTTGCCTAACCAATCCACATGTGCTTTGTGGATTTGGAGAAGGCTTATGACCGTGTCCCCAGGGGCACCCTGTGGGGGACGCTCCAGGAGTATGGGGTGGGTGGCTTTCTGTTAAGGGCCATTCAGTCCCTTTACCAGAGGAGCGTGAGTTTGGTCCGCATAGCCGGTAGTAAGTTGGACCTGTTCCCAGTGAGGGTTGGACTCCGCCAGGGCTGCCCTTTGTCACCGGTTCTGTTCATCACTTTTATGGACAGAATTTCTAGACGCAGCCGTGGTGTGGAGTGTGTCGAGTTTGGTGGCAGGAGAATCTCGTCTCTGCTTTTTGCGGATGATGTGGTCCTCCTAGCTTCATCCAGCTCTGACCTTCAGCTCTTGCTGGGTAGGTTCGCGGCCGAATGTGAAGCGGCTGGGATGAGGATCAGCACCTCCAAATCTGAGACCATGGTTCTCGACCGGAAAAGGGTGGCTTGCCACCTCCGGGTCGGGGAAGAGGTCCTACCTCAAGTGGAGGAGTTTAAGTATCTCGGGGTCTTGTTCACGAGTGAGGGTAGGAGGGATCGGGAGATCGACAGGCGGATTGGTTCGGCGTCTGCAGTGATGCGGACGCTGAGCCGATCTGTCGTGGGGAAGAGGGAGCTGAGCCAGAAAGCCAGGCTCTCGATTTACCGGTCGATCTACGTCCCAATCCTCACCTATGGTCATGAGCTTTGGGTAATGACCGAAAGAACGAGATCGCGGATACAAGCGGCCGAAATGAGTTTCCTCCGTAGGGTGGCCGGGCTCAGCCTTAGAGATAGGGTGAGGAGCTCGGACATTCGGGAGGGACTCGGAGTAGAACCGCTGCTCCTCCGGATCGAAAGGAGCCAGTTGAGGTGGTTTGGGCATCTGGTCAGGATGCCTCCTGGACGCCTCCCCGGGGAGGTGTTTCGGGCATGTCCTGCCGGCAGAAGGCCCCCGGGTCGACCCAGGACACGTTGGAGAGGTTACATCTCCAATCTGGTCCGGGAATGCCTTGGGGTCCTGCTGGAGGAGCTGGTGGACAAGGCCGGGGAGAGGACGGCCTGGAGCTCCCTAGTTGGGATGCTGCCCCCGTGACCCGGACCTGGATAAGCGGAGGAAGACGACGACGAACTTCAGTTTTCTAATAACAATGGTCAAAATTATCTGATTTATATCCAGCAACAACAGAATGTGTTTGACATCAAATGTAATTAAAAATATGCAATAACGTTGTTTAATTCAAAAATGAAAATTTATGTGTAACAATTCAGATGGGATTTGTGTGTGTGTGTGTGTGTGTGTGTGTGTGTGTGTGTGTGTGTGTGTGTGTGTGTGTGTGTGAATAAGCTACAAAAGAGAATCGGGGAATGAGAACAGTGAGGTCTACTTTTCACAAAATGAACAAAGAATATTAAATATAAAAATTCATCTTCTTCTCGTTTGACAAGTGAGACAGCTGTAGGATCCCCATTTCATAGCTGCAGACCTTTGGAGAACATAATATGAGTTACAGACATCAGTGCATCAAGGTATTGTGAAGTTTATGATGAGTCAGTTAAAGTACTGGCAGTAAAAGAATACAGCCTAGTAAAGTCTTTCTAAACACACAGCAGGATCCACATTGCAATGAATCAACCTGCTTCATCAGCCTCCTAACGAGGAATCTCAGGGCAGCCTTTCCCCCACTCACCTACATCCCTCACACCTTTCATGTGTAAAAGGAGTGCGGTTGTTTTCAAACTGCAAAGATGTGCATTAGTCATGGTGTACATATAAGCTCCTGAGGGAACACGATAAGAGCAGGTGTGCCATGCAGTATTTGGTTATTCTAAGACCAAATAGAGCTCACCGTTTAACTGGTTGTACACCACATCCTCCAGTCTCTCCAGACGCTGAAGAATGGACTGCCTGTCCACCAAGTTGGAAACTTTTCCATTTCTGGCTCTGAGCCTCTGATCAGAAATGCGCCCAATCTGGATGAGCTCCTCGGATCGGTCCTGGATCCTGCAGTAGACTGAGAACAGGATAATCCCCACGAACACCAAAATGTTGACCGTCAGCAAAGTTTTGATTTTGCGTGCCACAGCCATTAAAGAGAATCTCGTCTGGCTGACTCGAGTCAAGCCCAGCCACTGTCCGTGTGTGGTGGACCCGTGCTCTGTCACCTTCTGCGGGGGACTGTTGTGCTCGGAGCGGATGTAGGTCGGCACGCGGAGACCCTGGGAGCCGACTGGTAGGTTCAGCACCACGGACAGCTCAGGAAGCTGCGCGCTGTTCGCCTCGCAGCATCGCCTTCTTCTGCGGGAAGTTCGAGGCAGGAAACGATGCTCTGCTCCAGCCGCGCTCCCTCCGTTTTAGGAGCTACCCTTTATAAACGAGAAATGACAACGGAGTAGGCTTCATCCTCACCAACAGCTGCAAAAACACCCCCTCTCCTCCGCAACGTGGTGAGTCGCCAGCTCTTTAACCTCGGTGTGCCTCATCCATCATCCAAGTGAGGCTCAGCAAAAGCCGCTCGCACCGAAGCATCCCCTCCTTTCCTTCTTCTTCTCCTTTATTAGGACTCGATCCGTTCCACTCTGCAAATGTAAACCTGAGGTTCGTCTACTAAATACGAGTCAGCTCCAAGAAGAAAAAAGGAAAAGGGAAAAAGAGGCGGTGTTTGTCTCTCCCTCCTTCCCTCCCACCCTCTCTTGTTTTTCTCTCTTTCCTTCCCCCAGTCTAAGCTAATCGCTGCCCTCTTCTTGTCTGCGTTGCAGTGTGAGAGGAGTTGAGGGCGGATTTGTTCTCAGATGCAGCCGATCGGTGCCGTTTGGAGGGAGAGATGCAGCCGGGCTCTGGCATGTTGTCTCCTCTCTCAGCCTCCCTCCGCTCTCTGTCAGGGAGGAAGAGCCGCCGCTGCGTCCTGACGTTCAGAGCCGCTGTCATGAATATTCAGAAGCTGAGCCGGGCTGGATGGAGCAGCACCAGGATGAAACGCTCCTCTCTCAGCTGCTGAACTGTGAAAATGTGCGTCAAGATATGTTAACTCATCAGCTGATCCGTGATGCGTTCAGGTTAACGTCTCTCTGTGCTGCTGCAACTTGATGTTCGGCTACATTTGCGTGTTGTGCAACTGCCCGTGCAGACAGCATGGTCAGCTGAGGAGGAGAAGTGATAATCTAAATGATCACATGCTTGACTGGAACTCTGTGCTGTGATAAAGCCATGTCCAAGTGTCTGAAATCACACTAGTGTGTGTTTCCACTCCAACATGATGGATCCAGCACATGCTGCTATGAGATCTATCCTAAACGCATGCTCTCATGATGTAAGGATTTTGGAAAGATGTTGTGTTTTTTATGATGTGTTAATTATCACTGACATCAGATTGACTTCAGCACACAGACCAAATAACAGCTCCAAACCTCAGTAGAAGGACATGTCCTTTAATTACAGCACAGTCTGCTAAAGGGCAGTTTTTGTTTGTCAGACATTGAGCAGAACGTGTTTGAGACTGCATGCGTTTTATAGAAGGAACTGGGTTAATACTGGGATCGCTCTGGAACAAAAACCTCTCTCTTGAGTCTCTTCTGCTTCTAGGTGCAGATAGTGCTTTTGCTCTTTGAAGATTTTAAACAATCCAGAGGAGTGTGCTAAAGGAACGTGAGACGCTGATGTATTTGTGAGGAAAGGTTTCCTTTTAAAGCCAGAGAGAGAGAGAGAGAGAGAGAGAGAGAGAGAGAGAGAGAGAGAGAGAGAGAGAGAGAGAGAGCATGTGCACCTGTGTGTGTGTGTGTGTGTGTGTGTGTGTGTGTGTGTGTGTGTGTGTGTGTGTGTGTGTGTGTGTGTGTGTGTGTGTGTGTGTGTGTGTGTGTGTGTGTGTGTTGCGTGCAAAGAGTAGTGTATCTAAATAAATGGTATAGGGATTTTAATTATCTGCTAAAGGCTTTTTTTCATCCTCATGGTCTTGGTTAACAATTTTTTACCAGGAACGCCAGCTGTGAAAACTTTTTAGAAAACAACCGTTTAGAAATTAAAGGTATGGAACACTGAGAGATTTCTTGTATTTTTTATTTCTGATTATAATCAGTCACTCTGAGTTTTTTCATGCAGGCTGAACATGAAAATAGTTTCCTACACCAATCTCCTGGATTAACTTCTGATAGAAAATAGACGATGAAACTCTAGGATTAAAGAGCCTGACAGATCTACGTCACTTAACATTCATGCACTCGCCCATCTTGGCTCAAGGCGGGGAAGGCTGTTGTTGGTTTAGCATCCAGGAAACAGCAGAGAACATCTCGGCTAGTAGAAGCTAACAGTTAGCATTAGCAGCTCCACCACACAGCAGAACTCCTTTAGGCTTGTGTTATTTGTGGAGATAAAACACCAACGTTGCATAGCAAATGGAGTCAATTGTAGAGTCACATTGCTGTTAGCCAGAATAATGTGAGTCTCAGAATCAGAAGAGAGATTTTCAAATAACAGAAAATAAGACTCTAAAGCTGCCGTCTGAAGCTTCTCCTCCAGCTGTCTTTACCTCCTGCTTCAGACATATATGGACTTTTTCCCCAGAGTACGACTTATAAGACATTCATTCCTACCAGAGACCACTGAAAATGTATTGATTAAACAAGTGTTCAACACCTTAATAAAAACAAAATAAAAGTTTATCTACTCAGACATCTTCTGTGGACAAACCCCGGTTAGCAGCACATCTTCTTTTTCAGATTGATTGTTTAATATGAAATACATAGGACAACACTACACAGTTGATCTGAATCATCAGCTAGTTTAAAGGATTTGCTCTGAGCTGCCTTTATCATTACCAGCTAATTATGTCTCAGGTAAATGGAGAGCAAAGCGTGAAAGGACAAAGGGGCATTTCAAAGCACTTCAAATGAATCTGACATATTATCCTCCTCAGTTTAATATAAATCAATGAGAGCGTTACAATTTTATATTATCTGTATAATACTGTTAAAATCAGTGTTTCCAATTAAACATCGATACCTCGTTTTCACAATTAAATGTTCTGCTCTTTTTCCTGAGGGAACAATGATATCATTTTTGTGTTTTTGTCTTTGCTGAGATCTGTCACCTGGAGTATTCAGAGGTCACAGAGTCATTTGGCCCCTGCAGTGGAAAATGCTTTCATAAGGGTTTAGAAATCCAATTTTTATCCCATGATTGTATTTTTCTCCTTGTTGTGATGCCACATAGCATTTTCATTCCATTCTTTTACAGATCCCAACTTTCACTATTGTGTGTCTTACTTCTGTGTTACAAGTACTCCAAATTTTATGGAGTGTTTAATTAGAATTCCTGCAGCACACGAGTCCCTTTACAAAAGATGCTGATTTGATCGGAGACAGACTGTGGGGAAATCACCGCTGCAGCCACCTCAGCTTCAGAACAGGCCTCGGCACAGCTACTTATGCAGCAGCTACTGTATCATATCCCCCTATGCTGCAACGTGACACTCTCTCAGGACTTCTCATCTCTTTCTGTATTCAGCGCCTGGCATGCCTCTGTGACTGCAGACACTGGCACTGAAAGGTTTTAACCATATTAACCTGGTTCACTGCCAGTAGCGCCGTAGTCATTCCACTTTGAGTTGCCTCTCCAACGTATTCAGTGGAAGAGAGACCAGACAGAGCTGTGAGCATTCGTCACTTCTGGAAAAGACAGAAATATCGACCTACTAATCTGCCTCCACATAAGCTGTGAGACCACAATATTCATTCCTCTGATAAAACAAACTATAAGTTATACTTTAACAACATAAGAACATACGGAAAATTCTAACGTTATAGATGGATTCCTTTATTTTGTAAGAAGGAAAATAAAAATTTGTAGAAATTCTTCACTGCTGAAGATTCTGAAAGTACTGGGAGGAATTTTGCTGAAAGGAAATTTACAAGAAATATATAAACTCACCACTTTGTCCTTTCTGCTCTCTGAGCTAATGATTTCATTGCACTTGGGTTTATAATGCCAGACTAGAAGGTGACAGAAAGATTATAATGATTTCCAACTAAAGTCCCTTTAGGCTCAGTACCAAGGTACAGCATGTTCACACATCAAGCAACAATGTGATAATGCTGGCATCTGTTCTTAGTAAATGGTAATTGACTTTTGCTGGTCTCCGTGGTTCATTAGGAAAATATGAGTCAAAATGCTCAAATGTGAGTGTTACCTGTGGAGTACTTGTTTAACAAATACATTTACAGTGGTGTCTTGTAGAAATGAATGCCTTGCAGGCAGAACTCAGGGCACACAGAAGCCCACAGAACCCTGGCCCAGCAGAACCAGTCTGCAACATCAGAGCTGTGCTTCAAATGGGAAGATTTGGAGTTTAATTTCCTGGGGCCTCATTTATCAAGTTTGCTTACGCACAAAAGGGGGTCGGAAAACTGCGTAAGCAACTTTCCACGCAAACTTTGGGATTTATGAGAGAACTTAGCGGAAAAATGTGCGCAACTTTAAGTTGACTAAGGACCTGGCTTACGCACATTTTGGACATGGAGAGCACCTGCTGAGCTGCTGCTGAGAAGGATAAAATTATGAAATCCTGCAGCATTATGCCATGTCGGGCTGCAGTCTTTGAACCCACATGACAGAATCACACGCGGAGAGGGAGGTGAGTAAAAATATAAATGTTTTATTATAAAGAAATTAAAAAGAACGAAGAGCGTTGATCCAAACTGGGCCATGGGGAGTATTCTAATTCTAAAACAGAAGATAATGAAATGAATACTGAGAACCAAGAAAACATCGTGGAGTAATGGTGGTGGAGTTTTACTGTGTGAAGTGGGGGTTTGAGCAGGAGAGGGAGGCAAGTCAGGTCTGAGCCGGAGATGGTCTGGTGGAGAGGAGTAGCAGGGAGTAGAGTAATCCAGGACAGGTGAGCGGTGGAGAGCGGGAGACCAGAGGAGTTGAGTGGCGTTGGGCAATAATCCACTTCAGGCAGCAGGAAGCAGAGGCAAGAATCCAGGGCTGGTACTGGAGCAGACAAGGAGGAGAAAACTGAGCACAGGGGAGAAAAAAAAACCACGAGGCAAGATTCAAACAGGAGCGAGGAGAGCTAGAGTACCCAACAATAGAGCATACCGGCGCTGAAGTGTGGCAACACCGCTCCTTATGTCCTCTGGCCTGGCTGATGGTATAATCAGCTGCAGCTGTGGCTCTCCAACCTGCTCATCTGCAAACACTTAAGAGCACAGCAGCAGAGAAAAAGCAGAGCCATGACACATTATCACTTGTACTGCTTCGTTTTCACACAGAACAAGCCCCCCCCCCCCCCCCCCACACACACACACACACACACACAGCCTGAAGCGCAGAATACGGACTGCAGAATATCAGCAGGGGGACACATTGAGACAGAATGTCATGCGTCTGTGACAGTGTGTGTCCTGTCACTGTGACCCGATTGATCATGCACCCTGGCTACTTGTACAGGGAAGATCTCTGTTTGGGTGACTGGTTAGCGTGTGTGACTCTCACCCGGGAGTCTGGGGACAGAGTCCTGATTGGACTGTTTTTTTATATCCGCCACAGATCTCTCTGAAGAATTCACAACATTGACGGCTTCAGCAACGCTGTGCCACTCCGTGGATTTTCTCTTATTTGTTTTGCAAAAGCACTTCCTTTCATTTCTCCACCTCACCCGCAGGTACCTTCTGCTTCTGTGAAATTGCGCTTCCTTGATCTGCCTTGATCTACGGTCACCATGTCATTGGCAGAGCGCTGCAACAGCCGGCTTATGTATATGCATGAGATCCACAAGGCACTTTGCATTGAATATTTATGGCAGTAAGTGGGCGTGGTGAGGGCGGGATGTGACTAAAAAGCAGCTGAGAAACTTTCTTGTTAGTCTCTGATTTATGAAGCGGAGATTGCGTGCAGCTGTGCGTCCTCCATGTTTGATAGATCAAAAACCTGCTTGGTCTAAGTACACTTTTTGCTGAGCTTAAGTACGGTTTTAGTAAGGATTCTATGCAATGTTTGATAAATGAGACCGCTGGTATTTAGACATCTTGCCTTGGATTGGATAAAAGCAACACAACTCTACCACTAACCCTGTTTGATCAGAGACATGGATGTTATTTCTCCACAACTTACACACCTTTGTTCGAGTTGCTAATGCTAGCAG